AAAAATACACATACTGGGAGTGAATCAGAACAGGAATCTGGCATATGAGAGAAAATTCACCTCCTCCTTTTGTACCACAATCTTGACAAAAATAACACCCCTGGCTGTGCAACTTGAAGTGAGCTAGCACTGATTTTTTTGGGGGTGGGGGTGGGGGTTGAGGTTTCAACATATGGAGGAAGGACAAAATCACCTTTCTATGTGCTATAATTTCAATTCTGACCTGGTCATGTGTGCTGTTCTTAGAGAAAGAAAAAAAGCAAAACAAACACACATAACACAACCTGTATTTGACAGTATAGACTGGGATAGACAGAAAGAAGCTTTGCTTAAGAATGTTGGACTACACTTCCCAGCATGCTTCAACATTGGTTACAATGGATACAGCTGATGAGAACTGTTCTCTGAGAACCTCTGGAGGGCCAAGACTTTGCTCACTCCAGTCTCTACATTCGGAAACAGTTTTACAAACCCCTCTGCTTTGGGATTCTGGTGCTGGCTGAAATCAAAGCAGGGCTCATTTAAGTGCAATTGTTTGAGGGCTACAGTATATGGAGAATGTACTGACTATAGAGATATGCCTATCTTGTTATCCATGGCTTAAAGTAGCCTTCTCAAACTTAGTGTTGTCCAGGTGTTGGACACTGGGCACATTGAGTGTTGATGATGGGAGCTACAATTGTAAACATTTGGCAGGGATGTGGCCAGAGAAGGCTGTGATCCGAGGCCTCCGTTTGGCATGGTCATCAATATGATCTCAGTTGTGACTGTTTAGTCAGGAAGCAAAGCAGAAGTATTCTGAGAAACAAACTGCTCCCTCCTCAGTCCCCTCATGCTTTCCTCTCCAGAACCAGGGTATGAATTCAACATGCTCCCCATCAATTCTTGAGCCACAGTTCCTCCTACCTCCACAAAGGCCTTTGTTTGTATGAACAGTTAATCATCACCTCACATGCAGCACATACTGTATATGCCTATAGCATATTGCATAAACGAGGGGCTAAATCCAGTGACTGTGGTGAACTCCATGGCAGGCAACAGTCTACCCTAGTGAATCAGTTTCAAGATCTTGGGCCAGTTGCTCTTTCTCAGCACGACCTACCTCAAAGGCTAGAAACGCTAGAAAGCAAGGGTTTTCCTGGCCTTGGCCTTGCCAAAGGAGCACAAGGTTGTTTTGCCATACAAAATACTGAGGGAATGATCTTCTGGTGACTCCACTGGTAAAATGAAGCAGTCCTAACAATTAGCATGGACTACAATCTCAAACTGCAGCACATCATTAGGGCTAATCCAATACATTTTGTGGCTTCCTGCATACAACAACTGATGTCCTCTGCGCCATAGTAAAATTAAATTAAATTAAATTCCCAACAGCTTGCTGGCTTTTTATGACTCCTAAAATGTGCTGCTTGAGGCTACTGCTTCACTGTGCCTAATGGTTACGCTGGCCACCTTCATTACATTGTTTCACAACTAACAATCGCCATATCATATGGGTAACAATACACCAGTGATGTGGATTAAAATAAGGAAGAGAAGTTTGCTATAGCTAGGTTTGCCAGATACATGGGTACCAAAAGGAAAACACAGAAAGACAAAAAAGAGGACAGAGGAGGACGTATTGAATGTTTCATTTGAATCATTCTGGATTAAATCCACAATCAATACAATTTTATTACAATAGCTGCCAATAAATTTTGCCTTTTTATTGTATTTTAAATGCTGTAAGTCGCCCAGAGACCTTCGGGTAGTGTGGGCGGCATATAAGTTAAATAAAATAAATAAATAAATAAATGTCTCTTCATTGTGAACCAACCAAGGAACAGTCATGTTAAAAAATAAAAATAAATTCAATGGAGGCTTCTTTTAAAAATACCAAAAACAAACAGAGATTATTTAAACAACCAATTGTACCTGAGCCCACCCTGGCCCAGCTGCAGAATCCCCCGGTGCTCACACTCTGCACAGGCTCAGAGGCAACCTTGCTAACCTGGATGCCCAAACAAGGTTCTGGTGGAGGCAGGGGGAAAGCGGCACTGGGCAAAGCCGAACGGGACAGCCTTCCCTCCCCTGAGAGTCATAAGTTCAAGGCTGGGGAGTGTGGGAGTTGGAGTCCCCAAAAGGAACTTTGAACACACACAGTCCGGGTGCTCTCCTTCCCACCAATGTGCTCGGGCGCTGCTTGCTCCTGCCTGGCTCGGCGGGTGGCGCTCTGCTCTCACTGCCTTTCTAGGCTCCATGAGCAGCCGCGGCGGTGGTGGCAGGGGGCGAGGGCTGCGCTCCGGCACCGGTGGTAGATAATGGGGGTGGACAGGTGGGGGGGCAGGGAAAGACAGGGGGAGGGAGTTCCTTCCACCTCTCCCCCTCCCCTCCAAAATTCTAACATAAAATATACAAAAGCCTGACGTTTTAAAGATTTTTATCTTTTCCTGCCGGACCGAGGACATTGCCTGATGTCTGGCAACCCTTGTTATAGCTGAATGTGGAGCCATGTGGAACCAAGAAGTGGAATTGTTCTGGGTGGTCTGCGACCTTACCAGTTCTGGCCATTCAAGGCCTCAATTTGATCAGTTTGAAGCCTATTTTAGAGCAGATGGAACCGATTCTTCGCATTATGGCTTTGGGAACCGATTCTTCGCATTACGACAATCTAAAAAACAGCTGGTCGTTGGGTTTCAAAATGGCCGCTCACTGTGCAAAATTGCTCCCCGCTGTTTTTAGGACGGATTTTTCGCTTAACAGGGATCAGAAAATGGCCGCCCTATGGAGGATCTTCGCTGGACTCTGAGATATTTCATTTCTGTTGGGAAGGCCCGCCTATACATCAATGTTTTTAGTTGTTTCTTAAAAATGCCCAGCGAGGGAGCCGCGCGAATCTCAGGGGGCAAGTTGTTCCAAAATTGCTCCCCGCTGTTTTTAGGACAGATTTTTCGCTTAACAGGGATCAGAAAATGGCCGCCCTATGGAGGATCTTCGCTGGACTCTGAGGTATTTCACCTATTGGAACGGATTGAACTGGTTTTCAATGTGTTTCAAAGGGGTTTTTTTTTTCCCTCGCTTGATGACGATTTCGATCTACAGCGATTTCACTGGAATGGATTATCCTCGTCAAGTGGGGCAGCACTGTATTAATATATCTTTGAGGGAAGGAATGCTTCCCTCTGATTTAAAAGAAACTATTGTCTGACCCATCATCAAATGCCCCACATTAGCATCAGACAACCTTAAGCATTTCTGTCTGATCGTTAATATACAATTCCTGGGCAAGGTGATCAAGAGAGTGGTGGCAAATCAGCTGCAGTTGTACCTGGAGGAGCAGGATTGCCTTGACCCATTTCAGTCTGAATTCAAGCCGTGATGGGGTACTGAGATGACACTGGTCACATTGCAGGATGACCTTTTAAGGGAGGCTGACAGGGGCAGGTGCACCCTGTTGGTACTTCTAGATCTCTCGGCAGCTTTTGATATTGTCAACCATGGTATCCTCCTGGACAGGCTTTCTGAGGTTGGGATTGGGGGCTAAGCATTGAGCTGGCCATGATCCTTCCTCCAGAACCATGTCAAGAGGGTTAACCAGCTTAGGTTAGTCACCAAACTTCGCCCCTACTTAGATGAGGACTCCCTCAGGACTTTGGTGGAGATCAGCTCCCAGACTGACTACTGAAATGCTCCCTATGTGGGGCTTCCCTTGAGCCTGATCAGGAGACTTCAGCATGTCCAGAATGCAGCAGCCAGACTGGTAGTGGGTGCAAGTACGTTTGACCACATCACTCTGGTTCTGGCTCACCTCCACTGCTTGCCCATAGCATCCCAGAGGAGGTTCAAGGTTCTGACACTCTCATACAAAGCCCTCCATGGTTGGGGCCCATCTTACTTGTCGGGGCGTCTTTCCTTAATGTCATTTGCCTGACCCACAAGATCATCCCAGTCAAGGCTCCTCTGGGTGACCACCCCGAGGGAGGTGCATAAATCCTCTACAAGAGGTGGGGCTTTCTTCACAGTGGCTCCAACTTTATGGAACCAGCTTCCAGAGGAGCTCCATCTAGCACATCCCTGCTGACATTTAGAAAGCAATTAAATATGTTGCTTTTCAGGGAGGCTTTCCAGCTGACCACCTTCTCCTCCCCTTTTTTCCGTCCTCCTCCCCCTCCCCTCTTCTCCTCCATCTGCTCTGAGTTTATATGATTAGTTGGTGCCATCTGTTTTTCAGAGTTGTTGCTGCTGCTTTTAATGTTTCTATGTTTATTTTTGTTTTCTATTACATGTATTGTAACCCACCCAGAGTTAATGAATGAATGAATGAATGAATGAATGAATGAATGAATGAATGAATGAATACTGATTCAGCCTGAGTCACATGAAATTGGGACAAGTCAGGAGAAAATAGAGAAATGGAAGAAATGCCTGGATCTGAGCAGGCGATGGGTATTATTAGTCCTGTGCTCAGTATGCCTATTTTATGTTTCCTTCTATCATGGGAGAAGTGGCTAGAGGTGGTTTATGTGCCCAGGGAAGGCAGGCATATACCCTTTCAGCAAGCAAATATCAACTGGTGGATTTGTACCTGAGGCAAAACCCTGATCACCCTACCCTATTTACAGCTTTGTGTAAAACTGTGTATTTAAACCACAAGTTTCATAAATAGATCACTTAGATAATTTATTTATCCCCTTGCCTATACGCTTGACAATTCATGTACCTTTGCCTTGATGAGAACAGCCTAAATTCCATTACATACTCTACTTTCCCCCATTTCAGAATGGCAGCATAGGGTTCAGTCAGAAAGCAACTCTGTGCCAAGTTACAACACAACTCCCTGATCAATGTAGGAGAGCAGGAGAGAGAACCAATATCTCACTCAATTTTTTTAGTGTCCAGAAAAATGTACACATCATTCGCTTCAGATTTTGTGGAAGGAAGTGGACATTGCTTAGTTAATCCAATTTGGACAAATTTGCTAGCTTCTTCACCCTCCTCAGTTTTAGGTCTCAAATACTTACCATCCCATAGAAGGTGTTACTTGTCCAACTCCACTAGGAGGGAGAGAATAGAAACCAGAAACATCTGATGTTTGAGAAGGACGGTGTACACCTACAGAAAATAGAAACATGAAGTAATTTATGTTAGGAAACATCTATCTTTCTTCTAGAACATTCTGACCTAAAAATTTAGCCCCTTCAAATATCTGTCCTGTTAGTAGTATTTGATGACCAGGATGAATCCACTTACTTTCTCCCTTTTGCCAGCATCTACAACCAAAACTGATCATCTTTGTAGAAGAGATGGAAACCAGGCAGTGAAGGCAGGCCACGGTTAGTGATGAAGAAGACAATGAGTGACAGGACAAAATAATGTGATGCACAAGATAAAGTTCATGCTGAGCCAAGGTAAGACACAGATGGGATGACAAATACAAAAAGGAAGTCGGTCAAAATTATTTGGAGAGTGGCAAAAATAAAGCAGCATAGGAGCTAGCAACACGAGTCAAGAAGTTCCTGGTGAATTCTCTCCTTTACCACAAATTCATTAGATGATTTGTGACCAGCCCTTTTAATATTAAACTTCTATTAACAATATAGGGATGATAAATTATTTCACAGAACTGTTGTAAGGATTACAGAAATAATGCATATGAAGTGCTTTGAGTGCACTCTTGTATTTCTTGGACTTCATCCCCCAGAATTCTCCAAACCAGAATTCTAAAGGCTTTTGCCAAGAAGTCAAAATTCTCACATGAGGGTTCAGTGACATACAGGTGGAAAATGAAGGCTCTGTCAGCCATTTTGTTTTCATGAAGAAAATAGAGGAAATAGGTAGGAGTGGTTAAACTCTGTGGGAGCAGCAAGGATTTGAAGGACTGATAGTCTTTTTGCCTATTAGGCCCTTCAGTGAGTGTCTAAAAAAAACTATCACTCCTCTAATCTGTTGTGGCTCACATGGTTCAATATGGTAGTTGCCATGATGGCTTGTAATCTAAAAGGGGGGGGGACTCATCCTAACATTTCACGATGGGATTCCCCTGAATCCATTCACAATCTGCCTTTGAGGGGCTGTGTATACCTGTATTCTCTTTGGTCTGGAAATTGTGTGTGTTTCTGTTTTCCAGTTTCAGAATGAGCTCATGTGCATCGATGTCAGCTGAATGTGTAAATAGCTTGTATTGAAAAATCTTGCCTAAGATTATGCAAAAGTTCTTGTATATATTTCATCTGCGACAGTTGCCTCCCACATGTAAGCCATCAACTGATGTCACACTCGCTGTGTATGTGAATTTGCCTTCAGATGACCACAGGGAGATATGGTGACTCTCTGAGATACAGTCCTCTTAAGCCTATGGATTGTGGTGAAAATCCAAAGAATAAATGATCGGGTAACAGTCATTCAGCAGGGGTTAACTCATCAGCCTCCCCTTTACTTTTCCTCTGAATAGATGAGATCTTAAAATTTTGCCATATTCACACCGTATTTTAGGTCAGGTTCCCCACTCAAGATTACCTCTTGTATTGTGGTGTTTCAGTCAGAAGAGTCTTCCCACCAACATCCCACATGAATGAAAACAACATAACACTGGAAGTGAGTAGCTATATACATCTTGGGCATTTCCGGATCCCAATTTTTGTCACCAATTAGAGGAAGGTGGAAAAATGTATCAACACCCCCTCCCTGTATTAGTTTTCAGTCTGTGAAAACTTTTCTTCTTGTACACAAGAGGCCTTGTCATATAAAGGACACTGCCAATGTACTTTGGCACACATCCAGCCCATGAGAGTTTTATGGGGCTACGACCAATGGTGCCACCTATAATCCTAACTACAGTGAGTAGACACAGCAGGGGAGCCATCTATCCTTAGGGTAGGCTTGTTTTATGACTTCACATTCTAGGAAGGAGTCTCTGAGGTGTCCTCACAGGACATTCATAGCCTCCCAAAGAATCATGGGACTCTATGTTGAAGAAGAGTTGAATATTAGGTGCATTGTGCTACATTCCCTGAAGAGCCAAGGCAGATCTGAATGATGCCCGTACATTTCCATCCTGCAGACTTGAATATTTGCCCTTAGCTAAGCTTCTTGGAAGTTAGAATTTGTTAACTCTTTGCATGAAGTTTGATTTACTTTTGGTTTGATTTACTTTGGAAACTCGGTGAGCAATTTAAGAAACAAGATGCCAGATTTTTGGTCTCCTGAGAGTGGAAGAACAAAACAAAACAAAAAAAATTCTGGGACAAAAGAAACATTTGCAAAATTTACATTGGAGTACATTTATTAATATGATATACTCTGAAGGGCTTACCGCATCAACACATTTCCACTTCCGTACCCACTTCTCAACAGTGCAAATGCTTTGCTGCATGCTTAACCACTTAAGGCAGGTTGCATTGCCACTGCTTAGGAGGTTGCTGCTGTGAAATGAACGGTTTTAGCCACTCCAGCAAGGCAATAGGAGAAAAACTATCGAGAGAACATCCTTTAAACCTCCAAAAGCATGTTTGCTCAGGAATGTCAGACTGAGCATAGATCCAAATATCTAGGAAGGAAGGTCAAGTGGTGCCTGGAGAGTGCATGAATGTTGATTCCAAGCATATACAGAGACAATTTTTGGAAAATACAGTCATGCTAAAGGCCCAGGGCCCTGAAATCCAGAGCAGCAGCAGCAGCAGCAGCAAAAAAGGGGTCAGTGCTACTCTCAGAGCTTTTACGCAGGTACTCACAGAAACCTTCTCTGAGAGTGGCACCACCTTTCATGGGATGTTGCATCATGGTACAAGAAGTGTGGTGAATAAAGCAGGCTGCCCCATTTATTTCCAGCAGGCCATAAAAAGGTCTTGAGAAAGAGCATTGCACAAGAGCTTGTGCAAAGGGAGAACCTCTGAGGTTGTGACCTCTTTTTCTCACAGAGAGAAAAGGCCTCTTTTCTGTCATTTTGGAAACTGCTTTCTTTCTGGGTATTCAGGTCCAAGCCATAATTTCTCCATATACATAGAACCTAACACAATAGGAAGATGAGCCTATTCTGTGATCTTCTGTGTGCCTCCCCAGTGGAACAAATGTGTGGGGACTCTGTCATTTGCCCTTAATGTCTAAAATATTTGTGACAATAGACATAGGAGAAATTCAGAGTGGAGAGCAAGTCAGCACATGCTGGCCACTGTGCAAATGAAAACTCTTGTCTTGGTGACTGCCAGCAAGCCATGAATCCAAGTTATGGAGAAATGGTGAGTTATTAAAGAAACTGGTTCATCATCCTTCTTATCATTACTATTATCTCCTCCTCTTGCCCTAATAATAAGGGTCATATAAGGATTGATACCCGCCTTTGTGTGTGTGTGTGTGTGGCACACGCTATATAATTAAGTGCCTCTATTATTAAATCTGGTAAAAAAATAAACCCACAACAACCCAACCCTGTAACTGGGTTTTATGTGCCATAAAATATAATATCCTACTAATGTGAACATTACCAATCAGTTATCCCACTTCGTTTCTAATCTTCATTAAAATGTGTGAAGGAAGCAGGCCACAAATCACACAATCTCTGATGTCTATGTACAAATTCCAGGAGTATAGGAAACAAACAAGAACTGGAAATGTTAGTTCAGGAGGGAAAATATGATTTGATAGGGATAAGTGAAACTTGGCAGGATGATTCCCATGACTGGAATACAGTAACTGAAGGATATAAATTGTTCAGAAAGAATAGAAAGGTGGTAGAGGTGCACTATATGTGAAAAATACTTATTCCTGCAGAGAAATACAGAAGGATAAGCTTAGTTGTCCCATCGAGAGCATCTGGATTAATATAACTGGGGAGGAAACAAAAGGAATGTGGTATGATGGAATGATGCCAAGGATAGCTAATCCTCGATAATCATTATATCAGTTGAAAGTTCGATCAGCTTGTTTTTCCCTGATTGATAGTCTGGCAAGTCAGAAGTATTCTTCTTCCAAGAGATTTGCAATCTATTCATTCTCTTTTCTGGGTTTTGAGAAGTGCTTCTTGAAAAGATGGTTTTAGTCCTTTCAAGTGTCCAGTTATTTTCTCACTTATTTCCCTTGTTCTCATATAGGAAATTGTGTAAAGTTTCAAATACCTCACATTGATCTTTTTCAATACATGACCTTAAAAATTCTAATTTTTAAATCATAAATTCAGTTTTGTCTAATATTTCGAAGATCATTATCAAACTATTCGAAGTGCCAAATTTAGATGGTTTATTTGTAGAAAAAATCTGAATTATGCAAGTACCTGAAGCCATTGTGTAACCTGGAAGCAAGTTGGAAAGGGCAGTCTTCCAAAAAACCCTCCTGGACCTCATGTCTAAATTCAAACAGTTGGGTAAGGATTTTAATATGGCAGCTTCTGTATGAAGGGCAGAGCATAATGAAAACTTGTTGAGTTTGCAGTGGCTGGGTAAACAAGGCCAACAGTTTGGAGCTCAGTCCACATTGATTAGTCCAAATAAGATGGGAAAGAGGATATGCACTTTCCTTCATCAAAGCAGTCATGTAGAATTACTGAACAGGTTTTTCGTTTTATGCAAGGCATCGTGTTTTTCATTGTTTCATCTGCTTTGTCTTAAATATACTAGCGTTGTTTCTGTGTTGATGCAAGAGGTGCATGGCAACAACGTTCATGGCTGAAGAAGCTTCTAGACCAAGGAAGGGGATACCTAACCCAAAATTTTAGTTGGGGGTGGGTGGGATGTTGCTCCTGTTATAAGTCAACAAACCCTAAATCCTAGTGAGCTCACAAGCCTGTCACCAACACACAAGTTCAGTTCATCCTTCCTCCAAAATCACTTTCTACAGAAAAGGCAAAAATGTTACCTTGTTTCTGGCTGATGTCAGCTGGCAGGTGCGGCGAATGGGAGCCATGGCTGAAATGCTCATTGCTGTAAGGGATGAGGGGGGTGAGTGGATGGACACCATGGGACGGCTGTACTACAGGAACCTTGTTGGACTGCAAAACACAAGCCAGACGAGAGAAATGTGAATTCTTGCCTTTCAGCTTTACAATCCAGGAAGTAAAAGAATGAAAAGAACATTTTGAAAACAATCCTCTCAATTGTGACATATGCTCAGGAGTGGCTGGCTATGGCCATGCTAGCCTAAAGGCAGTCCAACACATATCCCAAAAGCTTCAGAGAAAAATCTCCTGGGGAAAGACACTTTTGAGTATGTATGGAGGTTAAGTACTAACTAAATCCATGTTTGCCTTTGCTAGAGTGATGGGATAAATGATGACCTGCAACAGGCCCACCAAACAGGAGGCTCATATATATCTTCACTATGTCACAGGCCCTCCCAGCTTTGTTGCACTACAGTGCCCATGAGTCAATACAGCCAATGGAGCATGAGGGTGGCAGTAAAAAGTTTTTTTGGGATTTTTATTTTCAAAAGCTAAAACTCTGGTTTACACATTAGTTTAAGAGCAGCACATGACTAGCCTATTGCTTTCGAATTGCTTTTAATTTCTTTTTAAAAGCCTTAACCAATAGGAAAAGAGCTAAAAATCTGGAAAAAAAATGGCTGCCACCACTCACAACCCTTTGGAAGTAATGATATGTGGAAATAATAACATATGTTACTTGTTCCACTAACATAATCATGCCATTATCAGTTGTTACATTGTTTCCCAGAGGGAACATTGTCAAGTCTTTGTTAACTCCCAAGATATAAAGATAGGGGAACGTCTGATCTGAAGTGCCACCTGTTCCTCCTCCCTGCCACAGTAACTGTCTGAATATATGGTGCTTCTGTGCGTAAAACAACTCTCACAACATCTTCTAGAATTGTTTCGGTGACACAGTCCTCCAGTGTCAAGTACTTATCTCTATTAACATACCTAAAGTAACATGCTACCTCTGAATTGGTACCTTGATTTCTGCACTGCTAATGGAAATGACAATCTTACTTGTAAATAGGGACGAGTGTGGCACTTCCCCAAAGCTGCACAATTCTGCACTGCTAATGGAAATGACAATCTTGTAAATAGGGATGAGTGTGGCACTTCCCCAAAGCTGCACAGATTTCGGTGTTGTTTACATGCTACTGTGGCCCCAACAAAGGCTTACAGACATGCAGATGAATGTCCCATGAGGGTCTTTTCACACCACAGTGTGCACACATTCTCTCACTTACACACTCTTGTCCTCCTCGGCTAAGTGCTGGCTTCCTGGAAAGACTTGTGAGATTGGATGCACCATGTGGTTCCAAGTCCTTTAAACACTGCAGTAACACAGCTTTGTGGAAATTCAATTTTCATGCCACAGCTGCCAAGTCTGAAGATCAGCACAGCATGGCAAGTGAGCTTGTGCTTTAGCTTTAATCCATGTTTGTTGTCTTACCGTCTACATCAGATCTTCAAAACATTTCTTTTTTGGACTACAACACCCAGCATTCACAGGTCCCTATGGTTACCGGCCATGGTGGCTGATGGACTGTGAGATTTATGGCCAGAAAACAAAATTTGTCAAGCTTTGTGAAGTATTAGAGCACCAGACATTGTTGTACTGCATGTAGACAAGGCTAGCTCAGTTAAGAACATAAGAAGAGCTATTCTGGATCAATCCAAAGATCTATCTAGCGCAGCATTCTGTGCCACGCAGTGGCAATCAGTTGTCCACTGGCCAAACATGAGTACTACTGAACCATATATTTCAAATGGCTCAAGAGCAGATAAATAGCAGTGCACTGCCCATGATAATGGAATTATAACCATAGTGGCTCATGTTCAATAATAGCCATATCTACCATGCATGTATCCAACTTCTTAAAGCTTTCCAAACTGACAGCTCTCACTGTCTCATGTGGCAGTGAATTCCAGAGTCTACATAATGTACATGGTATCCTGAAGTACTTCCTTTTATCTGCCTTCAGTCTTCTGCCATGCCATGTATATTATTCTAGATACGAAGTGAACTCCTCAGCATTTATACAGTATTACGGTGTGACTCCATTTTTGGAATCTAGTCTTTAAAGGATCACTAGGGCACCACCAAGACCTTCAGGTAAGACTCTGAACCCATTAAAAATGGAATACGAGAGTATGCCTGGTAAGACAAAACTTTTGGCTGCTCTCTACTAAAAATGGAGAAGATAATGTGCGATGTCATTTTTGTTGTGGCTGCTGTTGAAAATAAATAACTGAATGACAAGATTCAGTTGTGAAATGCCAACCTTTTTCTATCAGAGAAAGCACAGAGGAACTTGTTTTAAGAGATGAAAAAAAAGAAGTAGCTGTGCTCTTAGGCAAATGCTTCGCTCACACAAACCGGCCTCAAGCATTCCTGCCATTTCATACTTGCCTGGTTTCGCCCATAGTTGCCTTTAAATTGACACTGACTTCACTAGAACAGGAGAAATCAGAGTTTGTCACTCCGCAACACAGAAGACACTCGTAAAAAAGAGATCTCCACAAGGAACAAGAAAAGTTGTTTCATGCCAGAATGTCATTCATTGTCAAAAGCAGAGACCTAAAAGCTGCTCCATGTATCACACTTGTCCAACATGAAAAAAACACTTTCAAATGGCAAATGGACCTAATTATGAATCCTAACTTCCTGTCTGGTCTTCCCACAGCCCTGTATTTTGTAGAGAGCACATGCAATGTGTATATAAGCTAGCCTAGGAATTACAGGAAATGTGGACCTATCACCTGTTTTCACTACTCTCATGTATCCCTGATTGGTTGGATAGCTCAATGAATTGGGTACTTGAATACAAAGGCAGAAGCCAGGAGTTTCGATTCCCCGCTGTGCCTTCTGGGAGAAGAGTCAGCCTGTGGCCTTGAGGAAACTGCACTGCCCCCAGAAGAAACCCAGCTCTTCATAAAAGAAACACGTGGGGTGAGGCCATTCTATTTAGCTTTCTCCTGTTATCTGCAAATGTTAGCCAACAAACTGGAATGGGACAGAGAGAGTATTTAAGTGAAATATTAAATAAAATACTAACGCCACAAATGTAGCATTATGCCATCATTGGTGTTAGCATCCCTAAAGCTGTCTATTCCCATCTGTTCCTCTTGTCAGCAACAGAAGCAAGCAGCACATATGTTTCTCTCAATTGCACCAAGAGGCAGCAGAACAGCTGCAGACAGTGAGGGAAACCCAAAAGCAGTGGACCTGGAGTGATGAAAGGGGCACTGAAGTGCCACCAAGGAGGATATGTTCCCTGCAGCAGAAAACTGAAGCAGCAAAGTGGGCAGAGCATTTTTGGAATAGAAGAACTGTTGGACAGCCAATCAGAGATTCACTGCTATACCAGGCACTTAACATTTCTCAAGCTTCTTCCAGATGCCCACCTGTAATCTCCCTGTGATGTACAACTCACCTAATTTCTTTACTTCCTTTAAAAAGAGATAAGCAGATACCACCACATCCAGTCCAAAGACACCCATCCTAACCACAGAGTTCAAATGACATAACAGACATTAGGCATGCAACTTCTGTGGTGAACCTCTACCTTAACAAGGTCTGTGAAGGCGTGTGTGTGCATGCATGTGCGTTTGTGCTGGGAAAGACATCTGCAAGCCTCATAAATGTGAGAATATCTGTAAACGTTGAATTCAGATTCTCAAGAATTTCCACTGTTGTTTTTGAAAGGGCACATTGCAAGTAGTGCGTACCTTATGGAAGAGATAATGATGAACATGAAAGGGTTGTTTTTCTTAATTAGCCAGGGAGCACACCTAGCCCATCCCTGTCCTTGCATCCATAGTGTTTAAGCCCCCATGCAATTATGCCTTGCTTGTTCCACATTCTGAGCAAAACTATCTGTTTTCGCTTCTATAGCTTTCTAACCTTTTAAAACAGTGGTCCCCAACCTTGGGCCTCCAGATGGTGTTGGACTACAACTCCCAGAAGCCTTCACCACCACCTCTGCTGGCCAGGATTTCTGGGAGCTGAAGTCCAAGAACATCTGGAGGCCCTAGGTTGGGGACCACTGTTTTAAAACGCACACTTGTTCCCTCCCATTTCAGCACCAATTTGTATATTTTGGGGCAAAAAGTCCACATGAAAATTCATACTTATCTTTCTACGCATCTTTTCCAAGGCATGCACCAAAAGAAGTGCATAGAAAAAGATGGCATACCAGCCCTTATACATTTTTAAAACATGTACATGTTAAGTAGAAATGCACATAGGAACACAGTATCAGTAGAAATGAGTACAAAAATGCAGACAAATTGGTACATAATTTTGCCTGAAGAACTGCACTGCAACATTCTTCAGTTTGCAAATTAAGAAGTGCAAATCAGATTGATACTAGTCAAATGTGAGCCAAACACTCCCTAGGCATATGCAAAATCAGTTGTGATGTTCTAGGGAGCTGTCCAGAACTGGTCTTCTGGTGGTGGTAGGGTTTGTAGGCATCAGGCAATATGAAAAAGTTCCATCATACTACTGCAATTTTGGGTATAGACCCTTTGAGTGAATATCTGGGATTATTTTTAGATTCACAAAATAACAAAAGCACTAATGGGGCTTTTCCACGGCATCTAACATTGGACATCTTTGCGGAATCTTGTCATAATCACTGAAGTCATAAATGGGATCTTCATTGATTTATTTGCTTAAAAACTATCTGGTATGGCTTTATAGGAAATAGTTGTAATAAAATCTACAGTATTCTTTAATTTGCCTTCAAAATGATATGGACACACAGAAAAATTCTATGTGTGTTTATTTGTAAGTCAATACCACCTTGTTAGACGAGGCTTATTCTTAGACGTGTTTAGGACTGCAACCAAAATTGTCCAGCTTTGAGTATAAGAAGATCCCAGCTGTCCCAAGTTTTTTGCTGCCCATGGTGAATAACACAATGGCAGACTCCTTGCCACCAGATAGAGATGCTGATCAGATGGGTAGTTTAATATTGCTTCAATCCTGGTGACAAACAGCAGCTTTCTGCATCCAAAGGCAGTAGCCTAGTTTAGGAAGTGCTAACATCCAAAAGTCT